TGGTGCAATTCAAGATCCAAAGCCAGGGGAAGGCCTGAAGAGCAGGCGACAAGAGAGGCTGGTCTTATGCTGTGGTGGACAAATACAGGCCAGTGGGTCCCATCCAATCTTCCTATATGTGTACCACCCCGAACTAAGAATGGTTTTCACATCTTTAAATTATTATTTATTTATTTAAATTTGTAGGAGGGCATGCACACTTGGCAGAGAGATACAGAGTGAAAGCAAGAAAGCATCCCCAATGGGGAATAGCCATACCATAATCCCTTTTCTTCCATCTCTCCCTCCCTTGGGCTTATGTGCACCCACGCACACATGTCTGGTGTGTTTCTGGCCCCTTTATTTTTATTTATTAATTTTTAGCTTTTTGCTATAGGGCATGTGTGCTCTCTGGAAACAGAGAGAGAAAAATGAGAAAACAGTGCTACTCAGGGCCACATCACAATCTCTTCTCCATTCTCCTCTTTGGATGGGCACACTACAATCCCTTCTCCATTCTCCTCTCAGGATTTTGGGCACACATGCATGTGTGCCTGGCATGATTTTCAAGCTGCTGGGTCTGGGACTCAAACTGCACAGTTAGCCATGAGGGATACAGTCACCTTAACTACCAGGCCACTGGCTGATCCCTTTTTACATTCTTAAATTATTTTTAAAAATTAAAAGAAAAATATTTTGTAACATATAAAAACTTTTATGAAGTTCAAATTCATTTCCATTAATGAAGTCCTTTTTTCCCATTAATGAAATAGTTTTAAAAGATTTACTTATTTATTTATCATTATTTTTTTAATTTGCTACAGAGCACGTGTGCTCACCAGACAGACAGAGTCAGCAAGAGGGGGGGAAAGTGAGAAAGCAGCCTGCCAGGTCCAAACCACCCTTAGCCATATGGGAGTCCTGCGCCCCAACTACCGCGCCACCTGCTGGCCCCTCATTAATGAAATCTTGTCTGAACACAGTGAGGCCCCTTTATGTTCTGTCGTGCCTGCCAACTCTTGACCACTTGATGCAGAGCTGAGTGCTTGTGACTGACAGATATGTTTACCCTCTAACCCTTTATGGAACAAGTTTCCAGGTGCCCCTCACCCTACCCCTTTGTTCCCTCTTTTCATAAAATGAGGCTGTGGTCTGGTCAGAAAGATAATGGAAGTACCCTAAGGTACTTTACTCCAGGTATCAACTGGGTCATCCGGAAAGTCATTGTTTTGGGTGGTGGTGGTGGGGGGGGGGGGTGAGAGGTTTTTGCTATAGGGCTCATGCGCTCTCCAGACAGAGAGTGACAAGAGAGAAAGCAAGAAATCACCCCCGAGGGGGATGGCCACACCGCAATCCTTTCTCCTCTGTTCTCCTCTCGGGATCTTGGGCACACACGTACACGCACCCAGCATGAGTTTTAAGCCACCGGGTCCGGGACACGAACTGCGGTCCACCCAATGACTTAATATTATCTTTGTTTTCCCTATGAGGAAACCCAGATGCTCCTGCCAAAGTCACCCAGATAGAAAGTGGTGACACTGGCCTCTCTTCTGGGCTCACTTTGATACACTGCCATAAACCAGGACACAAGTATGAAAAGTGTGGTCTCTGGGCCCTACCTCTGACCCTCCCTCACTTTTTTTTAGCACTTTTTTTTTTAAGAAATATTTTTATTTAATCTTAATTATTTATTTTAATTTGACCAGAGAAGGACAGAGCGAGAGAGAGAAAACGAAAGTAAGCTGCCAGGTCCAGGACTTGGACTGTGGTCGGCCACATGGGAGTCCAGCATCCAGCACCCTTAACCACCACACCACCTGCTGGCCTCCCTCCATGGCTTTCTTCTGATGTGCTATACAGGCCCTTGTCCTGGGGACTTGGCAGGGTAACAGCGCCTCCTCTCTGCCAAGTATGGTACTGCACATTGCATGTACACAGAGGCCTGTCACTCAGAGCTTAGGAATAAAGGCTCCAAGGTAGACCTGAGTTTGCATCCTGGCTCTGGCACTTCCCATCCTGGCTCCTTCATCTGCAGGACAGTAAAGGCAACAACCTTGCAGATGGTGCTGTGGACCAGGCAGGGCGTCTGGATTTCATGATGATGGTCTCTTAGTCTTCCTAGCCTGTTTTACTGATGAGGAAACAAACTCAGACTGGCCCAGGGTTGGCAGTGAGCAATGGATTGTGGAGCTCAGGTTCTTTACCCTGGACCTTGTGTGAGAAAAGCCATGGCACCTTGGTATACCCATATTCTGCACAGCTCTTCTCGCTGTGGCCTGTAGGGTATGAGTATATAGAGGAGATGGAGAAGTTGGGGGGCAGGCAGGGGCATCTCCACTTGCTGCTCAGGCCTCCAGGTGAACAACGCTTTGGAAGTGGCACCCTACTTGTTTATTCCCCTCTAGTCACGTGACAAATACTCTTCTAAATATTGCTGCTCCCTGTCTCTGGAAAAGCAGGACCAAAAATGTCTTCAGAGGGAGCCAGGCCAGCCCAGTCAAGTCCTTGGTTCAAGGCCAGGTGCTCTGCCCTAACACCCAGGCAGATTCTGCTGTGACCATAAAGCCACATGGCCACAGGGCCTCAGCATTCTCCCGTCACCCCTTCCTTTGATACACGGAGTGAACCAAGTCTCCATTCCACACATCTGCAAAGCCCAGCAACACGCCCAACAATTCATGTCAATGGCTTATTTTAAGAATTATTTGATTTAACTTTATTTTATTTTAATTTGACCAGAAAGGGACAGAGTGAGAGAGGAAAAAATGAGAAAGCAAGCTACCAGGTCCGGGACTTGAACTGCACTTAGCCATGTGGGAGTCCAGCGCCCTTAACCACTATGCCACCTGCTGACCTTGATGGCTTATTTTTTAATCTAGGTGAGTCTGTCTCTTTATTTTTTTTTTTCTTTTCCAGAGACCTTTTGCACTTGCTGGAGAGAGACAGAGAGAGGCTTTTTCTTTTCCAGAGACCTTTTGCACTTGTTGGAGAGAGACAGAGAGAGGAAGACAGGGGAAGAAAGCACCCATTATGGGACGGTCACTCCACAGGGAAAGAAAGCACCCATTATGGGACGGTCACTCCACAATCCCTTCTCCACTTCTCCTTTTGGGATTTTGGTCACACATGCACACATACCTGGCACGTTTTTCTTTTTTTTAGAGATTTTTGCTGTGGGGTGGGTGCGCTTGCCCAAGAGACAGAAAGAAAGCAAGAAATCACCCTCCAGGGTGGCCACGCCACAATCCCTTCTCCCTCATTCACCTCTTGGGCTCTTAAGCATGCATACACATGCGCCCAGCATGAGTTTTAAGCTGCCGGGTTTGGGACTCAAATATGTGGGAGTCCAGTGATGTAACCATTACGCCATCTGCTGGTCCCTTCCTGGCATGTTTTCCAAGCCACCAGGACCAGGACTTGAATGATGCAGTCATGTGGGAACCAGTTGCCTTAACCACCACGCCATCGGCTGGCCCAAGAGTCTGCCTTTAAATAAGAACAGTGTCGTTACTGATATTACTGTGGGCCTGTATAACTTTGGGTTTTGTTCCTCCTGGTCTGCATTTATTTTTCTCTCTTTTATTACTGTTTGTTGATTTTCTTCTCCTTTGGAGGTTAAATGCTGTTTCTATACACAGGATGCCCAGGGTGCCTTAAGTCTGCCTGTCCCCTCTCTCTCCTCATTCTCACTCCCATCAATTCTTCATGAACAGTTCTTGCCTTCTGTTGGCTGTTGTCTTTCCCCTTTTTCTTCAGGCATTCACCACTAACCTTTCAGTCAACATCAGCAGGTAGATAATAGGGAAGGGGACAGGAAATTCAAGTCACTGAGCTTTTCCTTTTTCTTTCTTTTTTCATTTGCTATAGCAAGCAAGTGACACAGAGAGAGAAATGAGGGGTGGGAGGAGGTAGAGGATAGAGTGGATGATCCCCCAGGAATCATGGCCATATCGCAATCGCTTCTCATTCTCCTTTCAGTATTTGGGGCATGCAAACACATGAGCTTGGTGGGTTTTCCTTTCTTTCTTTTGTAAAAAATTATTTATTTTTTAAAAATGATGAGACAGAGATAGAAAGTGAGAGAGCAAGTTGCCAGGTCCGGGACTCAAACCGCTTCTGGCCATGTGTAAGTCCAGTCCCCAACCATCACGCCACCTGCCAGCCCTATCCTGGTGTTTTGGGGTATTTTAAAAGAATAATTTTTTATTTAACTTTATATATTTAAGTTTGACCAGAGAGGGACAGAGTGAGAGAGAGAAAGGGAAAGTAAGAAAGCAAGCTACAAGGTCTGGGACTCAAACTATAGTCAGCCATGTGGGAGTCCAGAGCCCTTAACCACATGCTGCTCTCACCTAGCCTCCTCCCCACCCCCATGTGTTTTTCAAGCTACTGGGTCTGGGACTTAAACTGCATAGTCAGCTATATGGAATCCAGCTGCCTTAACCACCAAACCACCAACTGGCCCAAGTCACTGAACTTTTTAGAGCCCTTTGGCCATTGAGGATTTTCTCCCTGTCATGTCCCTTCTTAGGTCCTTCACAGTCACTATGCTGGGTCCCCTCTAACTCCAAGTCTTTTTTCCCAGAGTCCCAAACCCTACCTCACACCTTCCTGGACCAACCTACCTACCTCTTGCTGTCATTATCCCCTCACCTAATCCACTTTCCTCCCTTCTACTTCTCAATTGTTGGAATTCACATTAAATCTGCTTCCTTGTTAATTGTCTCCCATTAGCTCCCCAGGGGTGCCATGGTTCACAACCAGTGTCCTCAGAGCCTGGAACTGTGCCTGGCACATGGGTGATGAGGCCAATCAGTGAATATCTGTTGAACAAATGGATGAACCCTGGCCACTAAGCCTTCGGTGGGAACATCCCCTGTCAATCCCAGTGGAATTGGTGCAATGAAAAGCAGAAGAGATCTGGGACCTCCCCACCCCCAACCCAGGTGTAGGGGTATAGGCTGCCCATCTCTGCATCCCAAAGACCACCACAGCTGAAAAACCGGACTCATGGGAGCAGGTAGAGTAACGTACTAATGTTTTTAATACAGTCTGATCAGATCAATTCACATCACAAGGTCAACCTGGGCTTGCTCACGTGACACGACCGAGGTACATGATACCCCTACCTGCTGGCTCTCCCACCTTCTTGATTCCCAACAGCACCAACACTCCCAACCTCCCTGACCAGACTGGCATTTTTTAAAATTTTGCATAAAACTATTTCTTCCATAGACTTCAAACAATCAACTAGCCAAGTTAATTATGGTACATCTAAACGAAGTTTAATACTAACCCTAACGTGTGTCTGCGGTTTACAAAGAGCTCTGTACCACCTGGGATAGCTTTCAGTAGCAATTCACTACAACTGGTCCTAAAAAATAATAACAATAATAATAATAATTAGAGAATTCAAACCCAACAGCAAGTTGAATGGTCAAAATCACATAAGAACTGGAATTTGGGGTGAGGGTATCCTCAATAGCTGAGCTTGCCCTAGCAGTGAAATACCAGCCTCCGAATAAAGCTCAGAAGGCCAAGGGCTGAGCTCAGGGGGGCTCTTGGAGGACACTCACCCCATGGTCAGTGGGATGCTGTAGGCTTCCGGCTTCCTTAAAAACAGTTGGGCATCGGCATTGTGTAAGTGTGTGGAGACCCTACTGTGGTTTCTTTTGAGGGGTATGGGAAGAGGAAGTGAAGAATTGGGAGGGACCAAAATCACTGAGGTCCCAGAATGCCATGGGGTTTGGACTTCAGATTGGGGTCACTAAAAGTTGAGCACCAGAATTCCAGCTTCCACCCGATAGAGAAACTGGGACTGGTATTGCCATGGAGGCCTATGTAGTGTTTTCTGCCCTCATCCCATACGGGGTCTCTCAAGGTATTTCTGCAGAGTATCAGATGAGAATCTATTTCTAAAGACCATGGGGAAAACGGATGGTAGAGAGGGAGTAGGGTTGGGGGAAGGAGACAGTTAAAAATGAATAAAAATCTCTCAGCTACAGAACCCAAAGACATCACTTTCCTCCGCATTCACAGCATTTCTCAGCAGTCCCCGTGGGCTGTTTCTTTGGGGACGCAGCATCTGCCTCACTTCCCCTCAGGCCCCATGGGCTGCTGGTCAACCTCAGGATCTACTAAAGATGATGCAAATGCCGACTGAACAATCTGAAACCCAAATGACTCAAGAAGAGACATGTTCTGCTGGGGAGAGAAAGGCGAGCCAAGGGCAGGGCCCAAGTCCCCCAGGGGACCCCCAAGGGCCCGGACATGCACCTTCTGGATATGTTTGTTCAAGTAGGACTTAGAGCGGAAGAAGCTCCCACATTCAGGGCATGGGTACTTCTTCTCCCCATCAGACTCCATTTTGTTTTTGGGGACCGCCATGTCACAGGAGAAAGAGCCGTTGGCACTCTGCTTCTCTGGTGTCTTCAGGTCGCTGGCATCTGAGAGGTCACCATAGGAGTCGGAGCTCTCAATCGGATCCTGATGTGAGCATTTCTGGCCTTCTACAAAAAAAACAAAACACAGGAGAGAGATGAGGCCAGGCTCTGGAGGGGTTATACGGGGCCTGTGGAGGGCAGCTGATGGCCAGCCATTGCCCTGGCAGAACCCACAGAGGTTCAGCTGGTCAGTCTGGGAGCCTGGAGTGCCTTTGGGGGTGAGACAGCAGGGCCTGGAGCCACCAGCCTCCCTCGCTGTGGACTCTTCATGCAGGTGCTCACCATCATCTCAGCCTGCTTCAAGGAAGGGGGTCAAAGAGGGAGTCTCTACTGCTTCTGCCCAGAATGACTCAAAGACCTCCAACTTCTAGGCACTCTTAGGTACCTCTGGGGGTACAACCACTATTCTGATGATGCCAAACGGGTGTATCAGTGGCCTTGTCTTCTGTACCAAACTAGCTGCACCCTAGCAAGGCAGGCGGAACCAGAGACATGAGGTCCTCGACCAAGGCAGACCCTACCGAAGGCTCAGACAAGACAATCCTTTTCCTAATGCTCAAACACAAGCCCTACCCTTACCACCTTGTTTCTGCCACACCCTTCCAGGGCCAAGCAGCTGAAGCATAAGCTTAAAAACAATTCTGAGCAACTCGTAGGCTGGACGTCAGCACCCAGGGCCCAGGACAAGCTGGACTGAGAGACAACCCTCACTGCACTGCCTGGCCCAGCCCACGCTGGAGTTCTTTTCCAATCACCAGCTTCCTGCCTGGGTCCAGGGAGGCATGTCAGGAAGGGAGGTCTGTGATGGGAGCACGGAGCATGCCATCTTAACATCTGCCAACCCCCTGGCCTCATCCCCTAGGCAACGACAACGTGACATAAAAGAACAATCTGAATCAACAAGCGAAAGTGGGCCTGGGAAGCTCTCCACACACCAACTCCATGTCAGGTAGTTTATTTATTGCCATGCATCTCACAAACGCAGCCAGAGGCCTCCGGAAAGGGCCAGTCACAGCAACCAACCTCCCCTATCTCAGGAGAAGCCAACCATTGGCTCCCACTGGCCCACAGGGTCAAAGGAGGAGAAAGCATTCAGCCACAGCTTCACACCATCCTAGAGGGCGACAGGCAGTAGACAGGCCAGAGTGACTCATCATGCAGGGCTCCTCTTCCTGCCCTGGGCCCGGGGTATCCCTGCGGGGCTCCACGGTGGCAGCTGGCCAGGAGGAAAGGAGGAGGGCTGGGGAAGAGGAGGCGGGGGCTGGATCTTGGCAGTGCCCTGGAGTGAGGTGCCCACTGTGATTTTTGTTCTGGAGGCCACTGCCACTAAGATCTCTGAGCCTCCTCAGGGCAGCCAGAAAGCTGGTAGCCTTCTCGCCTCCCCACGCCCAGCCCAGCGCCCCCACAACACAGTCTGCAGAGAAGCAAAGTGCAGAGCAAGGAGTCGCTTGCCTTTGTTGCCATAGGTCCTGGCGCAGTGGAACGCTGCTCCCCCATTCGGGATGGGCTCCTGGTGCCTGGAGACCTGGGGAAGGGGAACACCGTGGTGGGTTTTAACATGGACCTTTAAGTAGGAGGCAGAGGAGAAACCTAAACAAGACAAAAGGAGATGAGATCCCGCGGCCAGCAAGAGATATCTCTCTGCCTCCCCCATGCCTCTCCTCTGGCCGCTCTGGCTAGCATGCTGAGGTCAGCTGCACCTAGAAGGGACCCCACCTCCTTGGCTCCAAAACAGGCGCAACCACATAAGCCTTGTGGTTCGGGATGGAGGGTGGCTTTGTCCACGAACTGGCTTCTCTGCAGAGCCCACTTGGCAAGGCTGCAGTGAGGGGCCCGGGCTGGCCACCTTGGTGGAATGGCTAGCTGCTCTAGGCGTGCTTGGTGTCTTGGTCACCAGTGTTTGGAGTGGATGTCCTGCAGCCTCAGGTCAGCTGCAGGGACCACGGCTAGAAATGTGAATAGATAAGGACGCGGGGCTTCAGGGGAGCCACAGGACCCCAGCCAGCAGAATCCTGCTTAACATTCGTAAATGGTAAACCAGACAACAGACAGACAGAAAATGAAATCCCAAAGGAGGGATCCCCCTTCTTCTACCTGTAAGGATATGTTCTATTTTGCTCACTTCCACACCTTCAGAATAACTGGATTTAGTAACTACTGTTTAGACTTTTTGAAGAACAATGATGTTTTATTCACAGTGGGTGGTCTTTTGGATTTGGTTTTGGAGCATCCCCCAGGTTCACTTGCAGAAGAAACAGAATGATCTGTTGGTCTTTATTTTGGGAGAGGGGCTATCCAGCTGTCTTGGAATTACTTCAGCCCACGCCAAGATGCTTCAGGTAGAGCCACAAGGTAGCTCAAGTTGGGGAGAACTGATCTTGGGTCAACTTCCACAGCGGTCATGAGTCCAGCAGTAACAGAATCAGGTGTGCACATGAAAGGATTTAGACTCGGGAGTCACGGGAAGGAGGTGCGCCATTCAGTGCTACTGCGGCCAAGGATCAGAGAGGGCTTTTGGCAGGAACCAAAGCTCTGTAGTACACGGCCCACTTGCAGTACCAGTGCCCTGACAGTGTCCCTTTAACCCCCTCCAGAGCTGGCTGGCACATCCTCAGATACTTTTTCCTTTTGATAATTACACAGTCACAGGATAATGATGAAGCCCACCGCTACAGGGTCAGAGGCAGGAGAGCACTATGTAATGTCTGCACAAGGTGCGTTTTTCCAAGTCTGAACCGGATGGCATTTTGAACGCTGCAGGAACTGTAGTAGAGCTTCTCCTTTAGCATGTGCCAATGGTGTGCCAGGGCCCCACAGCACAGTGCACACACTATTCTCTATAATCGCGCCCCCCCCCAGCACTCTATGTGCTAGGAATTACTGCACCCATTTTTCAGATGAGGAAACAAGAGGCTTGGTGAGATTAAATAACTTTTGGCCACAGTTGCTAAGGGGCAGAGCCTGGACTCCAACCCAAGGACCATGTGCCACCACTGAAGAGTCTGCCCCTAGCCAGTGGGTTCCTGTATCTTGGCCCTGGGGCCTAGAAACATCCTTAGGACTTTGGCAATAGGTTTCATTGTCGCCATTTGCGGTCATATATTTTTCTGCCATACCAGTGAGCGAGAACAGAAGCTGCAGCTGAACAGAGGGCTTATCCCTGACAACCGTTAGCGGTTCTGGAGGGAAACGTTGGACCGGGCAAATTTCCCCTTTCCCAGAACTACTACTTCAGAGGGCCGCCTGGACCAGATGCTGGTGTTCTGCCCTGTGTGGGCGGCGAGCGAGTGGTCATGCGTTGTTACCAAAGAGGTGCCCCTGGGGACAATCACCAGGGGACAGACTGGCTGAAGGGGGTCCCACATGACATCACCAAGGGGACTGTACTCGGTAATAAGTGCACCAGGCTAGTGACAAAGAGGCTCTTAGCCCTGCGCTATGGGTTGGCACCGTGGAGACCCTCAATAAAGCAGAGCCAGAAACCAGCCCCTGGCAGCCAGCACAAGATGTCAGGACTCTCTGATAACAGCAGGATGCCAGTTTAGAAGGTTCTTTTTTTTCCCCTCTTGGTTTTTAATCCCTGTGGGGCCTCTGAAATAGGATGACATCCGCCCCATGGTGGACCAGAGCAGGTCCCACTGCAATCAAAGGAAACGGGGGAGAGGCACCAGGAATTGTTATATTTACTCCTTGTGGAGACAGCTATGCCACGGAAACACAGCAGATGCTCAATAAAACTTGCTGTGTTTTCCTGAAACACAGACTGAGAAACACGTGGCTGGGTCTTCTCGACTCTACCCCAGCTGCAGACTGTACTATCTATAGCGAAGCCACACGTCGGGGTGGTAGGAGTGGATCCACAGCTGCCACTTAAAGCCCAGAATTTAAACAGAGCAACTCAGCAGCCAAGTGTCGGGATGAAACAGAAGCTGAGCTTCTGAGCAGAACGCGTCTTTGAAGCCAGACATATTTAGGTGGAATTCTAAACTCCCCCGCCCATTCACCACTGATTAACCAGCAGCCAAAGAGGCAGCTCGTTCCAGGCATCCACGCAACAGGGACACTGAGCACATGTGACTGCCACCACAACCAAGTCACACCCTCCCTCTCACTTCGGAGAGAGCTAATTAGCAAAAAGCCGTTGCTCTGGTTGCATTTTCTTGCCTGGTGTGCCTGTGATTTGCACTCCAGAACAAATCCTCCTCTGGCAGATCATATCCATGCAGGGGCTGGGGACAGCTTTCTCCTTGTCCCGGTTCTGAAGGGGCCATCCCCAACAGCAGTCCACTGGAGGGGGCCTAAGGAGGTGTGTGTCGGTAAAGGAATGGCAGGCTCACCTCTGACCACACAGGAGGCTTCCTCTACCTTTTAAGAAATGATGTTTCAGTCCAAATGTCTCTGTCAAGGGCAAATTCCTGACAAGCCCTCCCTCCTCCCCATCCCAGCACACGTGTGTATATACAAAGGCCCAGCCACACCAGTTCCAACGGAAAGGAAGGAGATCGCGGTGATATGGCAGGTCCTTCTCCCCTTCCCACTGTTTAACTCAACTCATTTCCTCAACTTAAAAATGATGGGACACGTTTTTTGCTGTAGAGAGCATGCACTTGCAGGGGTAGGGGGAGAAATCACCCCCAAGGGGATGGCCATGTTGCAATCCCTTCTCCCTCATACGTGCCCAGCGTGTATCTCAGGCCACCAGGTCCGAGACTTGAACTGTGGTCCGCCATGTGGGAGTCCAGTGTCCCAACCACCACTCTCCCTGCCGGCCCCAGGATACATTTTTTTAACCACAGAACTTCCACTGCAAACGGCCACCCTCTGTACACGGCTCAATACATATCCTGATGTCTCTAGGACAAAGACGGGGCCACCTGTCTCATAAACGTGCGTCCAGCTCAAGTGTGGGGCCACGGTGGTCAGGCTGCTTTCCCCACTTCCCATTCTCCCCAGCCAAGGGTGGTTTTTGTCTGTTTGTTTTGTTTTGTGGTAAACACTGAGAAGAGCAGATTTACAGGTAGCTGATTGTTTAAGAGTGGTTGAGACTGAAGGCTCCCTGAAGGCACTTGGATGTCCACCTGAGTCCACCTTCATCCGGACTGATAGCTGATAGCGGAACCCATGCAGAGATAAGAACATTTATTCATGCAACTCATCCCGTGTTCATAGACTTGGCAGCAGCAGGGCAAAGGACGAAACAATCTACCTCTTGATTCCAACGTCTTGATGTCTTTGGTGCCCAGGAAGAACTTATCCTCTTAGAAAAATGCCTTTCTCTTTCTTATTTTGGCTTTTTAGTTTTTTACCCCTTCCTATGTTTGCCCAGGGACTGAGTCCAGAGGTCAAATCCTGCCTCTTCTCTTGCGAATTTGTTTTCTCTTCCTCTGAGTACCCATGTGAGTTGGACCAGAGCCATTTTCATTTTCTTGGAGGAATGGGACTTCCCACTCAGATTCTGGCACCCAAAGATGTGGAGCCTGCGATCCAGACTTGGGGGTGGCGTTTCTGCAATAAGGCAGACTTGGTTTTACTCTTCTGGATCTCCGACCTCAGTCGTGTAGCTTGTAGCTGTTTCCCAAGCCCTCTTGGGAGAAATATCCTGACATAGAATAGTTGTTGGTTTGGCCACATCAGCTGTCTCTGAACTTGGTTGACTTTCTCGCTGTTCCCTGCTTCTGTCAGCTCTTCCTTCCTCCTGAGCTGGGCTCTCAAGGGCTGTGGGCCCGGTCTCCCACCCAGTCCTTGCCCCATGCTGCCACTGAGGCTGAGCCGTCTAGATCTTATCATGAGCATCCTTCTCCACTCTCAGTCCTTTTCGGTCTCTAGTCTCTGGCCCTAATTCTAGGAACTTCAGCACTGAAAATGTCACAGAACACCTGCTGATGGCTTGTTATAACAGGTTTAGAGTTATCTAGGGGTGCTGCAGGTTAGGATGGAGCAAGACCAAAAAACCATCTTTTTCCAGGGCTAGGGCAGCCCCAGTCAAAACAGTCATCCACAGCCTGATAACTCTCCTTGCACACACAAACCCACTGTTTACCACCCAGGAGAAGCAGCTCCTGCCAGAAATGGGCTCGAATGACATGTCAGAAAACAGAACAGACCGTTTAAGCAGCTTTGAATCGCCAACTCCCCAAGTTTCCTGGTGGTACGTAGGTTGGTATTAGTGGCCTTCAAGGCAACCCAGGTCGCAGTCCATAGACAGACTCAGTTCCAGGAGACCAAGAACATCCAGCTATTAAGCCATCTTCCTCCACCAGGGACCTCAGGGCACTTGGAAACAACACAGGCACCCACAGATTCCAGCCAAGGGCTGCAGGGGTGCTTGTGCCCAGTCCAAACTAGAGTGTCAGTAAGTCTTTCCTAAAAGTTGTCACAAAGTGTAAGGATGGAGGCCTCCCAAGTGTGCAGCTCCTTGTGGGCTCAGAGAACTCCCACCTACCGTCTCTTGGGATCCTCACAGCAACCCTGTGAGGTGGGAAAGGGGGACATTTTTAACCCCATTTGAGAGTTAAAGAAATTGAGGCTTAGAGAG